GGATGCCACAAACCTATTGCAACAATCAGAAGTGTCACATTAGAAACCAGTTACAAGGGCTTTTTTCATAATTTAGAATGCATGCTTGCTTCCTTAAACTTCAAGCCATCGGTTAAATCTTTTAAACAAATTTATTATCGAGACGATCTCATAATTTATGAGAAACTATTGTTATAATTCTAAAAAAAAAAATTCTCTTAAAATTCCACATTACAGTCACTACTAGAAAATGGCTAATTTGCGACCGCAAAAACGGTCAGAAAGTGGTCAGAAAATGCTAATTTCCGATTACTTTCAGACCGCAAAGTCGTAGTCGCAAAATAGCTGGTCTGAAATAGTTTGCGACCGAATCCGTCCGTAATTTGTGACTACAACGCTCGCTAAGGCAAAATAGAAAAACGACTATAAATGTGGTAAAGTTTCTGACCGACGCGGTCGCAAACAGGTTAAATTAAATTTTAATTTTATATTAACTTTCCCACTACTTCGGTCGCAAACCGTATATATAATTATAATAATATTTAATTTTATTTGAGTTTTTCCACTACTGTGGTCGCAAATCTAATTTAAAACTATTTATTTATTTGTCTTTCCGACTATAGTAGTCGCAGTTGTTCCTGAATCTGGAATATTTTGATGCATTTTGCGACTACTATGGTCGGAAATATGTCGGAAAACTGCGAATTTTTTGCCAAATTCCAGCTCTTTTAAAGCAATAACACCTACCAATTCAAATATACAACAACCAATTAATCTACCATGCTAACCAATCAATCCACCATTGCAACTAATCAAATCCATAAAATGCAAAACATAAATATTTGTAACTAAAACATCCAAAAAGAGTTAAACATTCTGACACCATTCAATCTAGTCTAAAATATTACAATCATAGTCAAATGTAAATATTACCAAGTCTAAACATCCAACTACAATAAATAATAATATCTCAAACATCAATAACCATAACAAACTAAAACTCATTATCCCCGCCATCCTCGCCATTCGAAGGAGCAAATGGACGTCCGCACATAAATTTCTCTACTAGACTCTGCAATTTGTTAAAATTTGCGCAATCTTCTTTCCGTTCCTCCTTCAACTCTTCAACTTCTTTTCGTAATGCTTCCACCTCTTCGTGATCTTGCGAATAACTCGCATCACCAGACAACAATATCGTAGAACGACCTACAGAATATTGTGATCCAAGACCGTAGGTTCTACCTTTCTTTGCGCCACCAACCACCTGCGTCCATATTGAAGCTACATCATTGAGTGACACTTGTGTTAAGCTACCATCCTCGGAATCGGGTTGACTTTGACGCCATTCCTCAAAACGTTGCTGATAGGAAAAGTGTGCTCCAGGGTATAACGCATGAAATTATCTCCTTCAAGAACTGACTTCTTCACTAGTTGGTTCAAAAGGAAAAGCAACATGTTGATTGAGCTAATTAACCTCCGGTAAATTGTAACATATATAAAATACAGTATAAAAGTCATAGATTGTGTAAGGTCCTTGTCTTATGACTAAAAGAATCATCAACCCCAACAAATCAAAGAAGAAGAAGAAAGAAGAAGAGACAAAAAGAAAATAGAAGGATCTTACATATACCCTCGCAGCACGCGGCTCGGCCCATTCTCTTGTCCCATCCTTTTTCTTTTTCAAATGATGGTACGTAAATTGATAACAATTTTATATGGCTTTAAACTGCATAGAAAACAATTTTATCACAGATTTAATTCCGAAAATTGCTTAAAGTAGTTTGCAAATTTACGTAACAATTTAATTAAACATACAAAAGGAGGTGGAATATGGAAAATTGTGTGGTGGAATAAGTGAACTGACCGGAAGGTGGCCTTTAACAGGGAGGTTGGTAAGAGGAGGAGTTTCATCAGTGGGTGCGTAATTTCCTTGAAGAAAGGGAAGTGGCTTGCTGGAGTCGTGCATCAGCTTCACCATCACCCGTTCTTAAATCTATGGCTTTAGCAGTTAGTCCAGTTTGGGGCTTTGGGTCAACCACCACTACTCCTACCTCCACTCTCGCCACTCCATTATTCTCTTCTTTCCTCCCCATTTTACCTCTCTCTCTCTTAGGCCAGAATATAAAGAGGGAAAAATATATTTGTATACTAACCTATCCAAATATTGGACCAGATGCAGACTAAGAACAAACTTGTAGTTGATAAAACGAAGTATCAGGCAATTGTGGGAGCAGATCTAAGATAGAGCTCCATTGTCCCATTTAAAAGAGATATATTATTCGGTATTCAGTTCTTTAAGGTTCTTTTTTAACAAACCTTAGTCTAAATCTACTTAAACAAGCATAAATCTACTTAAACATATGCTTTCAGATGAATGAACAGTAAGATGGAAAAATTAAACAGAAAAGGAAAAAAAAAGCTTACCTGTATGAGAAGAAAGAGAGAGAGCTGAGTGATTAGTGATTTACCTTCAAAAATTTGGGAAAATAGGGATCGGTCGAGCAGAGAGAGGGGGTTATCGGTCGAGGAGAGAGAGAGGGGCTATCGGTCGAGCAGAAAGACTGAGAGAGATAGAGGAAATTGAGGAAATAGGATTTGGGCGTGAAATATTAGATTAAGGTTAGTGACTACCGTAGTCGCAAACACACTTAAAATTCTTTCATCATTTTAATTTTAATTTTGCGACCGATACAGTCGCTTAGTGGGTCAACATAAATTTTTGACTTTTTAATGTCCGACCAAATCGGTCGCAAAAGCGAAGGCGGAAAATTGACGTGTTGTTTTCCCACTGCCTTTGTCGGAATAATAGTCGATTTTCTTTTTTAAAAATAAATAATAAAAATTAAATCCTTTTCCGACTAATCCGGTCGCAAAAGTAGTCCCATTAGTGACTGCTTCATTTTCAGTTTGAAAATTCGGTCACAAATTGATATTTTTTTAGTAGTGAGTAACATCTATTTTACTCCTTGTTACTTGGGTCCAGCAATCATCTTTATGCATAAGGATATTTCAACATTCAAATTTTTGTGTACCCAAAAAAATGCTCTCTTCTTTTATTATCTGTTTATGGGTCTAAGAAAATACGTAAGTTGAGAAAAAAAAGTTTACTTCATGATACTACTCAAGGCATATATGGGTTATGGGAAAGGCTACGGCGTTATATACGCACCACCACCTGATCAGTTGGTATACGATGATGATGTTGCCCACAGTGNCATCACCTTATTAGCTGGTATATGTTGATGATTTGCCCATAGCGGCTGAGATGATATGATGGGATGCCCTCAAGGGCTTGATGATGTTATGTACGTACAGACCTAAGCATTATATGACATTTATACGCATATGCATGACATTATAGATATTTCATGATTTTGATTTACAGAGTTATCCCCACTTACAAGTTGAGTCATTTACTCCATATTTCTTTCATGTCCCTTATATACTGATTTACATGCCTTACATACTCGGTACATTATTCGTACTGATGTCCTTTTGTTGTGGACGCTGCAATCATGCCTGCAGGTATAAGTAATCAATTTGATGAACCCTTATTGTAGACGAGGTTAGCATTCAGCGAAGGATTGGTAAGATTCCACCTCATTCAGAGTGCAGTCGAATCTATGAGCCATCGCGTTAGAGTTTTACTTAAGACTTATGGGTAGGCCGGTACCCTGTTCCATTTGATGTCAAATAATCTTATAGGCTTTGTAGACAGATGGTCATTTTGTACAGTATGTCAGAGGCCTTGATGGCCCATATGTATTCATGTTTTTAAAGAAAAATTGTTCAGTGATACAATGTTGCCCACTTATAGCTATACATTATGAGTTGTGGCCATGTGGGCCCATGATAGTTATAAAAGGAATGAGTTCAACTAACTAAACCTATGTAGATTCTAGTTTTGATCGAACGATCATGAGTTACAGAGTGGTTCGCTCGGGCCAGCACGGCACCGGGTGCCAGCCACGCCTCCCCAGGTTTAGGGCGTGATAAGGATGTTTTTCGATGGAGCCGCAAATTGTAAAGGAGTGGACATTGGAGAAGTTTTGGTATCAGAAACGGGTCATCATTATCTGGTATCTACTAAACTCAGATTTTCCTACAACAACAACATGGCGGAGTATGAAGCCTGCATACTAGGGCTCAACATGGCAGTCGACATGGACGTTTTGGAGTTGCTGGTGATCGGTGATTCAGATTTGCTTGTGCACCAGGTACAAGGAGAGTGAGCCACCAAGAATTTCAAGATATTACCATATTATGCACCATGTGCAGGAATTGAGAAAGAGGTTCACGAAGATAGATTTTCAAAATGTTCCCAGAATTCAGATTGAGTTTGCCGATGCATTGGCCACCTTGTCATCGATGATACAACATCCAGATAATAATTATATTGATCCCATTCCGGTGAAGATCCATAATCAGTCGGCATATTGTGCTCATGCTGAAGAAGAAACGGATGGAAAGCCTTGGTTCGAAGACATCAAGGAGTACTTATCGAAAGGAGAATACCCGGAGTATGCAAATCACACTCAGAAACGCACACTACGGAGATTGTCAAATCACTTCTTCCACATTGGAGGATACTTGTATAGAAGAACTCCTGATTTGGGTTTACTAAGGCGTGTAAACGCGTATGAGGATGTACATGCCGGGACCTGTGGCCCACACATGAATAGTTTCGTCTTGGCTAAGAAGATACTCAGAGCCAGTTACTTTTGGATGACCATGGAGACAAATTGCATCTAGTATGTCCGCAAATGCTTTTAATGTCAAGTGCATGCCGATATGATAAAGGTGTCGCCGAACGAGCTCAATGCAACAAATTCACCTTGGACATTCGCCACCCGGGGAATAGATGTTATTGGTCCAATTGAGCCCACTGCTTCAAATGGACACAGGTTTATTCTGGTGGCTATTGATTATTTCAAAAGATGGGTAGAAGCTGCATCTTACAATGTTATAACCAAGAAAGTCATCACAGATTTTGTCAAGGATCGTATTGTCTGCCGATTCAGAGTTCCCTAGTCCTTTATTACTGACAATGCCGCCAATATCAACAATGATCTAATGAAAGCTATGTGTGAAGCTTTCAAAATCAAGCACAAAAATTCCATAGCCTACAAACCTCAGTTGAATGGAGCCGTAGAAGTTGCCAACAAAAACATTAAGAAGATACTAAAGAAAATGGTAGAAACCATAAACAACGGCATGAGAAGTTGCCCTTGCTCTATTGGGGTACCGCACCACGGTTCGCACATCAACCGAGACAACTCCCTACACGATGGTTTATGGTACCGAGGTTGTCATCCCAGCCGAGGTGGGGATTCCTTCTTTAAGAATCATACAGGAAGCTGAACTTGGTGATGCAGAGTGGATAAGGAGTCGATATGAACAATTGGCCCTTATCGATGGAAAGAGGATGAAGCAGTATGTCATGACCAACTTTATCAGAATAGAATGTCCATAGCTTTCAACAAAAGGATCAAACCAAGACAGTTTGCACCAGGGCAGCTGGTATTGAAGAAAATCTTCCCGCATCAAGATGAAGCCAAAGGGAAATTCTCTCCCAACTGGCAGGGTCCGTACATGGTTCATAGGGTACTGACAGGAGGAGCACTCATACTTGCAAAAATGGATGGAGAAATCTGGCCAAAGCCAATCAATTCAGATGCAGTCAATAGATACTATGCTTAGATATCTTACATTTCTTTATCTAATGTAATTGAACTACGCTTGACCTGATTCCCATTTAAGAGGGGATACGCAGGCAGCCTTATGGGTTTTGTCATGTCATAATAAATTTTTTATTTCCCCCAAGATCAGAAACTGGGGCAGAATTTTGAAGAGGGTCCTCAAAATTCCGGAGCAAGTCTATCCAATGCCAATAGGTGTCAGACGGTCAAAAATAAGTTAAGGAAACTGGAGTAGAATTTTGAGAAGGATTCTAAAAATTCTGAAAAAGACTCAACAAGGATTATTATCCGCAAACAGTCAAAATATCACCCACCAAACCAGGACAAAATTTTGAGGAGGACCCTCAAAATTCCAATATAAGAGAGCTGCAATGCCTTTGAAATATGTTACGGTCACTAGTTCATCAAATGTATCAATATATTTCTAAAACAACTCTATTTTTATCAGATTGAATATTTCTTCGAAGACTTTATTTTCATAATAGTCAGAAGTTACCCAGGGGAGCTCGAAAGGGCTTTCAAAACGGAGCAAAGCAAGGCTGGCAGACGAAGCACGAACCAACCTCCCCTCGCAAAACATACAATTTTTCTTTGAACGCAGGCACATTTGACGTAATGATAGCATTCGCAAATATGTATACACAAAGAGATCGCTATTAATCAGGCCATTAGACACCGAATATATCTCCAGCTAAGGTATATACTACTCTTATTTGCTACTTGCTCTCTGCATGAGGCTAATCCTTGCCTCCACACTTGCACGAGGATAATCCCTGCCTCCTTATTTGCATGAGTCTAATCCTTGAATCCATGAGGCTAATCCCTGCCTCTATACTTGCATGAGGCTAATACCCGCCTCCATACTTGCATGAGTCTAATCCTTGACTCCATTAGGCTAATCCCTGCCTCCATACTTGCATGAGGCTAATCCCTGCCTCCCTATTTGCATGAGTTTAATCCTTGACTCCATGAGGGTAATCCTTGCATATACATTTACATGAGGCTAATCCCTGCCTCCCTATTTGCATGAGTCTAATCCTTGACTCCATGAGGCTAATCCCTGCCTCCACATTTGCGTGAGGCTAATCCCTGTCTCCCAATTTGCATGAGTCTAATCCTTGACTCCATGAGGCTAATC